CAGCAGATCTGATGTACATGTTACTGATATATGAACAGTGTGGATTTTAACAGTTTATTTCTGTAATTATGCCTGGTTAGCCATCTATATCTAGACTAATGCTCTATGCCAAGAAACCAAACTACTTTGCCTGAGAAGGAGTATTTGTTGCAGATGCTTAGTTAGCACTAGAAAAGTTTTCACTAACATGTATGCAAACTTTTAGTATTCAAAGGACTGGAAGGAACCATCCACTTAAGGTTGTCAGCAAAGTCCATCCCAAAGGCACTGTGTGAAGAACTGTTAAGGTTGACAGAAGATTACAAAGTAAATATGTGAGAGAGGAAACAGCAGTACAACTTTAGTGATGTGACTGTCAGGTTTTTAGGTCAGCCATTTCAGCTCACTGACCCCCAGGACTGCAATGTCTTCAATGCTTGCAAATTTTTTTCACTCTCTTGAATTCTTTCTACTCCCTCAGAAGCCACTTCCAATTTTCACTTCTCAGAAGCTCTAGGTAGACTGGGAAGAAAATGGGAGGGGAGTTTTCATGTTGCAATCAATGAGGACAAAGAAGTCTGAGCTATCCATCAGGATAAACTATCACCCAATATAATCAATAAAAAGCGAACATACTTGCTGTAGTTTACCCAAAACAAACACTATAAATGTGTAAATATAATATAGCAAAAATAATAAAGGAAAGGTAAAATATTTAGAAGGTCTATATTTTGAAGCAAAAAGCAGAAGTTCCCAAGTTTCTTATGGAAATGATCAAGAAATGTATAATTTCTTCTAAGATGGCTAGCATTTAGCCTCCAATACAGACAATATTTATGAAAATTAAAAGAAGACATTGTCAGGGGCACAAAAGGTTTTGCAGTTTGTTATGGTTATATCCCAACTTACTTAATAGAAAGTTGTATAGGGTAAAAAATTCAAGATAGTAAAAAAGTAAAGATGTAATTTGCTGCTAAAACAGATTCCTAAAGCACAGAAAGGCTGAACTGTAACTAACTTCTGCATGGGGAAGCAACACAGAGCAGGTCAGGAAGGACAAAGGATGTGGGAGCTAACCATAGTTGCATTTCTTACATCTCCAAATGCAAGGACCACATTGGCTAGCACATGCAGTACTAGCAAGAAGGCTGGACCCTGGCCTGTTCCCACCTTCTCACTACAAGACATCATAAACTGCAGCCTCTTCAAAGATGTCTGAAGCTGCACACCCTATGAGCATCTGGAACGGCTGTACACAACTCGGATATAAGTCCTCCTTTAGATGCAATATCTTTGAGATTCCTTCACAGGCTCTAGTTTGTTACTACAGTTAGCCTTAAAAACCTAACAGATCTTAGCCTACTGAATTAAAACTGAACATAAGATACACATTCAAACATATTTAACCATAAGAGGAACCTTCTCTACCTGGTTAGCACAACACCGAATTGTTTGTTATAAAAAGCCATTTTATTTTACTAATCCACAATATCACCCCCTGAGAACTGCTAAAATTCAGCAGACTTTAACCTTTGGTTTGTTGGAATTTTAGATATTTAAACTACTGATGACTCAACATGTTTTGCTAATGCAAACTTTTTGGCCAACCATGCTTTACTTAAGCCTCATTCCAGATTTTACATGCTATTGATTTTACGTCACACTGGAGGCCTAGTCATCACCCTTAGGGGACAGATTTTCTGGTGCCGACTGAAACAGTGAAGCAACAGCATTAGTGAAATTAAAAGAGTGGGTGATAATAAAAACACATGTTCCATGGGATCTTTTCTTTTAGATATAATAACAATTTAAACTCATTTCAGTTGGATTGTTTTACCTAGCTGTAAAAATTTTTGCCTGCAGCTGAAGACCTGAACCTATTGCCCTGATCCAAAGACATATTACCAAACTGGACTATAGACAGGCATAGGGAGATACTAGCCTACCAAAGGTTAGTGCTGACCTAGTGAAAGGGAACTTGAAAGGGCTTGATGTGTTCAAGTCAGCAGGCCCAGGTGATCTTCATTCAAAGGTGCTAAAGGAATTGGCTGGTGAAATAGCAGAACCACTGACAAAACTGTTTGAGCACTCATCATGCTCAGGGCCGTTCCCAGCAGACTGGAAAAGGGCCAATGTAGTCCCTATTTTCAAAAAGGGGAAGAAGGAGGATCCAGGAACTATAGACTGGTTAGTCTCACCTCTATTCTTGGGAAAACCTTTGAAAAAATTATTAAGGAATACATTTGTGTGAGTCCAGCAGGAAAAGTAATGCTGAAGGGCAACCAGCATGGATACATAGGAGGTTGATCCTGCCTGACAAACCTTGTTTCTTTTTATGATCAGGTCACAAACTGCTTAGATGCAAGAGCCAGGGTGGTTGTCATATACTTGGATTTTTAAAAAGCCTTTGATATAGTGTCACATCCCATTCTCATAAAAAAACTGAGTAGTTGTGACTTAGCTGATTACACAGTCAGGTGGGTGGCAAATTGGCTAATAGGACACACCCAGAGAGTGGTGGTAGACAGGTCGGTATTGACCTGGAAGGATGTGGGCAGTGGTGTCCCCCAGTGCTTGGTCCTCAGGCCAGTATTGTTCAACATCTTCATCAGTGATTTGAACAAGGGTGTAGTGAGCACACTGTCCAACTTCATAGATTACACCAAATTATGGGGCAAAGCAGACACACTGGAGGGCAGGGAGTGGATTCAGGTAGATTTGGACAAGCTGGAAAAGTAGGCAGAACCAAATAGGATGCAGTTTAACAAGGAAAAGTGCAGAGTACTGCACCTAGGGAGGGGGAATCACCAACACACATACAGATCGGGGGAAACTTTCTAAGCAGCATAGCAGCAGAAAGGGATCTCGGAGTCATAGTTGACTCAAAGATGAACGTGAGTCGACAATGTGACAAAATGATCATTAGAGCTAACCGCACACTATCATGCATTAACAGGTGCATCATGAACAGGTCTAGGGAGGTGATACTTCCTCTCTGTGTGGCACTGGTAAGGCCGCAGCTGGAGTACTGCATTCTCTCATATGATTAGAGGCCTGCAGGATAGGTCCTATGAGGAGAGGTTGAAGGACCTAGATCTCCTCAACCTCCATAAGAGAAGGCTGAGAGGGGATTTCGTGGCCATCTACAAATCGGGGGGGGGAGGGGAAACAAGGAATAGGAGATACTCTGTTTACCAAGGCACCCCTTGGAGTAATAAGAAACAACGGCCACAAACAGATAGAGAGCAGATTTAGACTAGACATTAGGAAGAACTTCTTTACGGTAACGATTACCAGAATCTGGAATGGGCTTCCAAGGGAGGTGGTACTCTCCCCTACCATGGAGGTCTTTAAGAAGAGACTGGACAAACACTGGCTGGGGTCATCTGACTCCAGCACTCTGTCCTGCCCAGGGCAGGTGGTCGGACTCAATGATCTGCTGCTCAATGATCCCTTCTGACCATGAAAATCTATGAAATTTATGAAAGAATCTATTTCCCTGGGCATTGTTAATTAGCCAATATACCATATGCTTGTTTCTTTCTGCATTTTTCCCCCAATTCTTCTCTATTAATCTGCAAACACTGAAACTTCTGACCAAAGAGACAGGCCTATTGAAAATTTGACAGTGCCTCTTACGTTGGCCAAAAGGGGTCATTGGGAAGCTAATGACTAGTTTGTGTGTATACATATTGTACTCATACCTATCTAAAGTGATTCTTTCTTTGGTACTACCACCATAGTGATAGATGCGATTATGTTGCCCTGACAACTAATGGAGATTTTCTTTTTCTAATAGCGGCCAATATTTTTGGAACAGAAGGTCCTGAGCTCTATCCCTTGCCACTCCCCATCAAATTCTCCCATATAATTTAAGTGACACCTACAATATACAACACCAGGAAGACATTGTGAGCATGTCAAAATATAAGCGTATACATCCAACTTGTGGTTAATTTTCCATATCATTATGTTGTCAGACCCTCGTTCCTTTACTTCAGTAACCTATGTGTTATTGCTGAAGTAGAGATAAACACAGTATAACAGAGATTGCTTCACCATTTTGTTGGCTTGTGATTTAGGAAAATATAGTGAGGGAGGAAATAAAAGAATAGTAAACTACATACTTACCTCCAAAATAGTCCATTGTTCAACAACAATAGCATCGTACGGCTGTATTGTTTTACTGTCTTCAATGGCAAGATCCTCAAAGATAAACACACCATCTATCGATCCCTGTAAGGAATCTGTGCAAAAAAAATCAAGAGGTTTTGTGTAACCTTTGTGGCAGACACCCTGCATACAGCAAGACATTTTATTTAGCTAATGTTCATAATCAGATCATCTTCCCAGCTTGCTAATAAAAAGAAACCAGCAGAGATTCCTGGACAGTCTAAGTCTGCTAAAATAAGTTGGACTAATTAATCTGGACATTTTAAGAGTATCCCTGTTCACTAAAGAGCCAGTCTCATTGTCATGTCACAAACTGCTACATGCATCCATGAGTTTGCTTTTAACACCACAGCTACTTCAGTTTAATCAGGTGAAGTGAAGTGTGCCTATCCTGGGCTCCAATCCAATAGGACTGCTGGGATGTTCATAGTTATACTTAATGGATGAAGTGCATAAAATAAGTTCTATGCAGCACCAACATTTTAAAGACTTTCCTACTTATGCTTCTAATAATAATAAGTTCAACCATTTATCCACCCGAGGCAACTAATTCCATACGTACCTGCAAGTGTAAATACTGTATTTACTTGAATCCAAGATAAGGTTATTTTTATTATTTAATATGGTGGGGAGGCCCCATGCTTTGGATTTGAGTACTAGCTGGGGAGCCAGGCAGCTGCTGTGTCTCCAACTCTGGCCCCAACCCATGGTGGGACTCAGAGATGCTGCCTCCACCCACCACCTCCCCTCTGTTGCACTCTGCCCCATCCCCCCGCCATCCCCATCCACTGCTGCTTACCCTCCAACTATGACCCCAGCTCTGGCCGCACTCTAGCCCAGGGCACAGAGCACAGAGTTACTCTGGTCCTTGTTCAGCCACACACCAGTGGTGATGGTGAGAGCAGCTCCAGAGCCAACTCCAGCATTGAGGCCAGAGTTGCTGCTGCTGCAACCATTACTGCTGGCCAGAGCGACTATGTGCTCCATGGCCTGGGTTAGAGTGGAGCCAGAGCTAGAAGATAAGTGGTGGAGGGAGATGAGTGGGATGGGAAAAGGTAGAGGGGAACAGAGGCAACAGCCAGGGCAGGGACCAGTAAGGTAGAGGGGAACAGAGGCAACAGCCAGGGAAGGGACCAGAGGGAGTGGGGGCAGGCGGGAGGACAGGGGTCAGGGGGGTGCATGCACTGTGTGGGGGGCAGGTGGCAAAGGGCAGGGGTCAGGCCACTTAACACCCCTGCTGCCTGCCTCGCCCCCCGCCTCCCCCCCCCCACTGCTGCCTCTTGCCACTGCTTGCCCCGCTGCAGTGGTTGGGAGCATGAATTTAAGATGACCCTCCAATAATATGATTCTGTACAAATAAATTTTCCATGTATAGAATCTCTCTAAAATTAAAAGTCATCTTGGATTTAGGTAAGTACAGTACTTGGTCTATGTGCACAAAGGAAGATCTGGCATATGCAAATTACAGATTGTGTGACAGCAAAGACATGTTCACATATATTGCATTGATTATGAAGGCACTGTGGTGATTATGCCTAGTATACCAAAGTTTTCAATCACACACATACGTTACATATTCAGCATTTCTCCAGTTTTCATAAACAAGTAAAAAGAAGATTTGAGCAGCATATTTTCTCAAGTCTTAATCATGCACTCCATAAAAAGAAGTCACCGTCATACGCAAGCATTCTTTTTCACAACATTTTTCTGTGCGCTCCGTTATGCAGCTATTTTGTAAGATAAATAATTGAAAGGAAATTTTGATACTGTACCTTGTAATATAAATAATCCCAACCACAAAATAATCAGCATATACTTCAAGAGCTATCACTGATGATTATGAAGTACTAGACTGCTTATAATACTGCCTGTATACTGTTTATAATGTAATATATTATGAAATCTTTTTACATTGTTTGAAAAACATTTTTTCAGCCTATCTGCCTTAAAATAGCTCCTTACACATTTATTTTGAATAACCAATTACAAAGACCTCAATTAGTCCTTTTTTCTCCCTCTCCCAAAAAAGTATGATATTTTACATCAAGGTTTCCATGCATTTTTATAGGGAATTATATTCCACACATTGATGCCATTTATTGTTTTGGGATGAGCCAGATGTTTGGAGAACAATAGGTCCTTGAGCTGATAAGCCATTAACATCTGTCTAATGAAGGTCACACAAGCTTGCTTTCAAGTTCTGTATGCAATCAAGGGGAAAAAAAAAACACCTAGTGATGGATTTTCCTTAGAGAAAGTCTAAGGTTATGTTTTATTCAGTAAACCTGTTATTATTTTATGTCATTTTTGTATTAGAGATACTGAAAGTAAATTATATAAATTAGAGACAAACAAGGCTTCAGTCTGAGCCAAAACCTATTTTCTATTTTCTAATACTCTGTTGAGGATTCTATCAATTCTCTTATTTAAGGTTTTCAAATCATTCACATCCACCCAGACAAAACATAGATTCTCCACACAGTATTTCTTTAATAATTACATTTTCATTAATGCTGACCTAATCACCTAAGTGCACCAAGATAACAGGAGAGAGTTCCTGTAAAACCTTCTTTTATATGACAGTGATAAAACTCTAAGCACAATTGCTGATTTTTGCCAATAACCCACAAAGCAGGTAGTGTGAAGTCATAGCACCAAGTAACAGAGCTTGAGACAATACTAATTGAAATTCCCAGTCATTCAAGAAAAGTAGCCCTTTTCGCAGCCAGAGACGACCCTAACAGGATGTGGGGCCCAGGGCAAATCAGCCTGTGTGGGGCCCCCTTTCGCATCCCATGGCACACTTATGCGGGTAATTGAACATTGCGGCATACCAGATGCAGAAGGAGGGTGGCGGCTGGAATTTCCGGCCAGAACACAGTGAAAGAAACTTCCAACCCGCAGGGCAGGTGGGTGGGCTACACTTCAAACATGGCAGCCAGCACCAAACACGGGAGGACCCGCGGCCTCTCCACCCAGCTCTGTGGGACCCCCAAAGTGCAGGGCCCAGAGTGCTTGCCCTGATTTGCCCCCCACCAAGGATGGCTCTGCTTGCAGCACTCCTGAAAATGTACTTGCCCAGACGACTCTGTACTGCTGTGACTGCAGCTCCTCTCTTTTCAGATGTCTTGAACTCATGGGATGCTACATGGAGCATGCCCCTGCATTGGAGGCAGGAATGTGGCTTCTTGCACCTCCTTGTATCTTGTGCATCTCTATGGATACCAGGTATAATCCAGAACAGGATGTTTTGAAGTTAATGCAAAAGGGAGCTTCTCGGATGATGAATTTATATAAATTAAATTATCATAAAACAAAGCCTAGGGGCTTTGTTCCTAGGGAGGAAAAATGTCCACTAGGGAGGAAAAATGTCCAGCACACCTACAGCCTAGGGAATGATCTGCTGGGTGGCACGTAAGTGGAAAGGGATCTTGGAGTCCTAGTGGACTCCAAGATGAACATGAGTCGGCAGTGTGACGAAGCCATCAGAAAAGCCAATGGCACTTTATTGTGCATCAGCAGATGCATGACGAATAGATCCAAGGAGGTGATACTTCCTCTCTATCGGGCGCTGGTCAGACCGCAGCTGGAGTACTGCGTGCAATTCTGGGCACCGCACTTCAAGAGAGATGCGGATAACCTGGAGAGGGTCCAGAGAAGGGCCACTCGTATGGTTAAGGGCCTACAAACCAAGCCCTATGAGGAGAGACTAGAGAAACTGGACCTTTTCAGCCTCCGCAAGAGAAGGTTGAGAGGCGACCTTGTGGCTGCCTATAAGTTCATCACGGGGGTTCCAACCTTAACATCTATGAATCTATGAAAGCCATTCTCTAAAATTCCCCTTCCAATAAAGTCAGTTCAATTGAGTCTCTGCAGTTACATGGAGCAAAGCTGAAGGTGTAAATGCTTACACCTTGCTTCTGTTTACATGAACTACCCTTTCCTGTATAGTTGGTCAAATCATTAAACCCTAAGGCTAAGTACAGACAGTCAAAAAGCCTGAGTCTGAATTTATTCAGTCTTTGCAGGTTAGTCTAGACTGCAGAGATTAAACTGAAAAACAACTGGACACACACTTACTTTTGATTCAGGAAATGCAGCCACATGCCTGCAGTGGCTCAGGCCAGAAGCTGGGGAGTGCTAGAACACAGCTCTCTGGCATGTAGCCAACATGAGCTGTATGTTCACTTCCTTTTTCTAGTGCCCCTGAGGTCTCTGGGATTTGCAATCCAGACTCACAGCAGCAGGACTCTTCCTGCTTCTAGGCATAGGCTGCTTCCAGGTGCCTCTGGGATTAGTAGTCCGCAGTCACAGCCAGCAATAAGTTTGAGCAGGAGAAAGGGGTGTTTAACCTCCCCCCCTGCCCCCAGCCCCCAGCCTCCAAGCCCCCACCCTTTTCTGCTGCAGCCGACAGTACAACCCAGCCCAGGGCTGGAAAGCATGCTGGGATGCAGGGGGGCCGTGATTTAACTTGAACCAGGAAGGGGTCTGGGACAGAAGTTTCATAAATCAGTTTGACCCAAATCAGTTAAGCCTGATACTACATTCAACCAGGTTTATCTTAAACCAGTTTCAGCCATTTTGAAACTGGCTTACATGCACTGAATTTATGTTCTGTTATAGATTTAAACCGGTTTCTGATGACTTAAGCCAGTTTATTTGTAACTTCTGTCCCTAGCCTTTATGAGTGCAATGGCATGTGCAAATAATCATGTCCGTAGTAATGGAGGTTATGTTAGTAAGCTTATGCCTAAAGGTGAAAAATAAAAGCATCCCGTTTGCAATTTTTTTAGGGTTCTATCTGTAAACCCAAAGAGCTAGAGAAGTGCACCACCTTCTTCTCTTCCCTTTGACGTCCTGTGACCATCCCACGATCACTATGGTTAAGTACAGACAGTCAAAAAGCCCGAGGCTGAAACAATTCAATCTTTGCAGGTTAGTCTAAGATGCATAGATTGAACCAATGATAAGCAAATGAACAAATTTATACTGGTTTATGTGTAATTTCCGTCCCTAGCCTCTAAGAATAAAAAATGGGGAATCTGAGAAGCTTGATCAGTGAATTATGCCCTTC